GTTTTGTTTGCCTATGAACAACTAGTGACAGACGCCGAAGGCAATTATGAATAATGTTAATAATTTAGATCAACATGATCAAGTCGGGGCACCATCTGGTCAATAAGGAAATAGTAGCCAAAATATTTTCAGTCTCATTTATTGTTTAAAGACAATATTATTACCTGCTAAGGGTTAGTTATTGAATCCAGTAGATGAAGGAATACATTCAGAACTAATTATTATGATGTGAGTTTGTAGAAAAAGGCAGCAAGCTTTAAATGTTGTTATATTGAACATTTAATGAAAAAATGAAAGAACAAAAAATTTATAAAAATTACAAAAGAATGGCAGATTTAAAAAATTTGATTAAAAAAAATGTATATATATATATATATATATATTCGCATTTTATGACTTTATTCTTGTAACACTGTGACTATTCTTAAAATTTGTCGCGCCTTTAGCATGTTTTTAATAGGTTAGCATGAAGAAAAGAAAGGTAATATATAATGCACATTAAAGTTCAATATTTAAATTATTTACAGCAGTTTATCTCTCAAGATAAACTGCTGTAAAAAAGCCATGGTAGCGGGGAAATTAAACAACGGAGGTCTCAGTGGTGGTGGCATTTTCTCATTTGTAACTTAAAATATAAAATACACAAGAAGAAATAAATAATTAAGCATCCAATAAGTTTATTAGAGTTTTGTGTTTGAAAATGAATTTCGAACACAGCTACGACTCAGCTATGCTGGTCCAGTGATTCCTCAATCTGAGTTACTAACAGCTTTAACTTTCTTGTTGTGACAGCTGCTGCTGGTTGACCTATCGAAGAATAAGGAGAAGACTTTTCTGGTGACTGTGAGTGCTACAATAACTGCAGTATTTTTGCTTTAACTTCATCTGTAATTTATGAAAACTGTTAAGTCCCTGCATTTAGTGAAATCTTCCTGTTCAGATTGGCGATGAGGATTCAATTCTTCCCCGAAGCTTCAGGCAGAAATACTGGACGCGCTGAGTCAGAGGAAAAAGGTGTCAGGTGAGTGAACTCAAGTCAAACAAGAACGTCGGCATAGGAGATCCCTACATTTCTTTTCCCTTCTTTTCTTTCAGGTGTAGAGGAGGCCAAGAAGGTGGAGGAGGTGAACCGGGTGGTGTCTGAAGCCTTCCTCCACTTCTTTGTCAGAACAGTCGGCCATTACAGCTCCTACGTCAAGTACACAAAAGAAGGTCCTGGCGTATTTGAGAAAAGACGCTTCTACAAGGCCATCGAGTCCAAGACGACTCGACACTTTGTCAAGAAGTTCATCCAGACGCAGATGTTTGACCTGTTTGTTCAGGAGCTGGAACAGCAGCAGCCATCAGGGCGGCAGCAAGGTGAGAGCAGAGCATCCAGGCCGCCTTTCTTCATCACAGGTCCATCTTAACGGATGACAGTCACACATTAAGCTCTATAACCCACTCTCTTCCCCTGCCTCCTCCTTCTCACTCTGTGGATGAGCAAAACAAAGGAGGAATTTGTAAAAACGACCCATCTCTTGATCCAGCAGTGTTTTCTGTACCACTATCAGTAACTTGCAGGGGAGTTTTGACCCTCTCCCCTTTCCGCTCTGTTATAGATTTCCACACTGTCGCAGATTAGTAGCTTTAAGGGCACACCAATACTCAAATTTGCTATGATATCAACATGGGAACAGTGGTAATGGAAAGCCGCCAACCACACGTCACCTTAACCTGCACGCTTTATCATTTATTTCTCAAGATATAGCTCATTCAAGTCATAGATGATTAAATTGAAGGATATATCTGCATAAGTCATTGAGCTGAGGATCTCGTTCTAATAAACTCATATTTTGATTAAATTGTCAATCAGATCCATAACCTGCAATAGTTTACTTTAAATATCACACATTTTAATGATTAAAGTTTCAACTGTATATTTCTGCTGCACACTAATTGAAACTTTGTCATTTGCTCTTGCAGGTATATTTCACAGAAAGATCAATGAATATCAGAAGAAGAAAAACGAGAAAACGAAGAAACACTAGCTGACACTTTGGGACTCTGGGTGTAGATATAAATATGTATAGATATATAAATATTTCAAGACCTTCATAGGAAAAGATGTGAATATTGCACTGTGTTGTTTTTTTCTAATTATTTTTAAGTTTGCTTTTAAATAATTATGTTCCAAAGTGTGAATTACTGTATGACTGTGTTGCTGCTACTCACAGTGTCAAACACTGGTGTATGGGAGAGGTGTTCTCAGCCATGGCGGTGGTGATGAACAGGAAAATCATTTCCAATAAAGATTAGTTTAAGTCCACGGATCTTCCTCCTGTGATTTTAAGGCTTGAGGAGTTCAGTTTAAGAAGGCGGCTCACGTTTTCTGCCTCTTCGCAACTGAGCAGAGTCTCAGATTTCATCTAACAACTGACTTTTTGTGACGTCTCTGAATGGACACTTTGCAGAATTTCATCTGATACAAAACTGACAATAAAGTGAAACGTAAGCTGCTTTTGGTCACTTAGTTCCACAAACATCTCCACGTGAACTGCAGTAAGCGCCCAAGAGAGGAAGACTGTTGTAGGTCCGGTCTGAGTGGAGTCAGGTTTAATTCCTTCTGAGCATCTCAGAAAGTGGACTAGCTGTATCATCTGGACTCTTTTATTCAATAAAAATAGCAAAATGAGAAGGGTGCCTTTCATTAAAACTATTAAGTTTGCTTCTTTTAATTATTCTCACTCAAGATAGTAACATTTTATGAATCTATTTTACAGTTTATCTAAGCATATAGCTACATCCTGGGTCATGGACTTCACTGTGAAGCAGTTGGCAGGATTGTTGTGTCTGACAGTCCCATCCTGGAGTCCTTCTCCATGGAGTTTGCATGTTCTCCCTCTGCATGTGATGTGTAGGTTCTCCCAAGGTACTATCATTTCCTTCCACTGTCCAAAACCATGACTGTTTGCTTAATTGGTCCCTCCAATTTTGTTTTTCATATAAAATCAAGAAAACTACGGACAACCCAGAACATCCTCTTTACATAAAAAAACAAAAAAAAACAAAACATTGTCTTCAGTCGGAGGCTTCTTCAAATATGCTGTAAACAGGCAGCTCCAGGAGATCAATCCAGCCCACAGCTCTTCAAAAAACATTAGATTGATATGAGCTGCAACAACATTTAATTTCCCTTTGGGCTCAATGAGGTATTTTTTAATTTAATTGAACTGCAATGGCCTTTAGGTGTACGTGTGTGTGTGTGCGTGCGTGTGTGTGTGTGTTGTGTTTTGGTTGTTTTCCTACAGACTGCTGGAGATCAATAAGGGAATTCATTGATTGTACAGCTCAACTGCACAAAAACGATCATCACCCCTGGTACACATATGCCCTCTAGTGGTGTGCAGTAAAATAAACTGACTTAAATCTTTTAGTTTAGTTACTTTTTGGTTGCTAAGCCTTAGAGACTTTGTGAGGCCTTCACAACAGCAATGAAGTTGTGAAGACCTCACAATTTCATTGTGAGGCAATGGAGTGAACAAAGTCAGCATAAGTGATATTAACAGCTATTTGAAAGGTTTATTTCTCAAGCCGGTATGTTAGATTCTGACAACTATTGATGAGATTAACTCAGATAATGTATGTTAACTTTATTGCTAGGACATTAATCTTACCTCACACTCTCAAATCATTTGGCTCATTTTAGGAAGACTGTAATTGTAAACTTAATTGGAGCAACAAAGAGCTTCTTCTGACAGGCATTTGCTTTATAAAATGTTTTTCACTTAATCTTGATTATTATTATTATTTTTAATCTTAAACCGGGATTTTCTGTGCAATAAAGTATAACTTGAAATTCAGGCAAAGTATCCACACTTACAGTAATGCATCTTCCAACTAATCCTTCTGCCTCTTTTAGTGGTGGAAGAATGACAAAGAAAGAAAAAAACATGTATTGATGATCATTTTTATTATGAATGCATTTCCTTCTACAGATTGTTAGACAATTAAACATTTCATTATATGCCCCTCATAGCTATCAAGTGAACTACTTCCAGATAAAATAGTTAAAGATTCACATTTTGCAGTTGAAATATTGTGTGTATAATTTTACCTCCCAAATTGAAAGTAATTTGTAAAACGACAAAATTGATTGCATAACTTAACTCAGATTTACAGCTTTCACCTATGGAAGCCCGTTTCTGCAACGTTGATAAAATAATAATAATAATAATAATAATAATAATAATAATAATAATAATAATAATAATAATAATAATAATAATAATATTAAGGTCGTTATTTTGCTATACTATCTCATTATTTTGAGATACTATCTTATTGTACTGAAATATTTTATGGCAGAAACGATCTTCAAAACTTCCCCTCTCTTTAGTGTAGACGTTATTTTGTGATGTCGAAGGAGGATTCATCAAATAACTTTGCTCCAATTTTTTGAAATTCATCTTTCTACTTTTTTTTAAATTATTATAGTTAACTATTGTCCAGACATCTTTGCCTCACAAAAAAATTTGCTCACACCTATGTGCTGCCATTCCTAAGCATATTTGGATATTGTAAAAATAAATAAATAAATGCAGAGGTTGCGCTAACAAGTCAGTGTTGACAGGTCTGTCATCATATGACAGGGCGGGTTGGAGCCGCTAGGTGTCTTACTGAGTTCAAAGACCGGGCGAGCGCCGCCCTCATGCTCAGCAGAACAAGAGAGAGAGAGCAGCTACCGCACCTTCGATCAAGGTAAGCGAACAAAGACCTGACCGTGGAGAAACAAGAGGAAGGCGCTCTGAGTTGGCGTGATGAACTTTTAAAGTAGTTAACTGTCGAATAAAATAAAAGTTGTCTGTTTTCCTAGGTGTGCTACTGGGTAGCTAACGATTACCAGCTAACTTTCACTTAGCTGTTTGCTCAGAGAACTTTAACTTTTGCAGTTAACCTAAATAAACGCAGAGCTTCCCTTGGAGACTGTCAAAATAAAGGTCTAAATTAGGAAAGCATGGGATGTCTTTGCATGTCGGTTTCATTTCGAAGTGCCTTTCCGGAATCGTCGTTACATCTGCTGTGAACTTTAAAGCCAGGAACTTTAGAAGCTAACTAGCAAGCTAAACTGATGTTAGCAGGTAAACACAGTGGTTTCTGAACCTGGAAGTTGGTGAAAATATACATTTGTTGTCTCTGAATATGATTAAGGGTGCTAAAGGGCGTCAAATGGTGATTTGAAGTGCTACCTAATTCACGTTTATGAACTTGGTGGAGGAGTGTTTTTGGTCCGTTGCTACCGAAACGAGCTCCGGTTGTTAAGAGTGGCTGGCTCAGTTTTATTGTTTCCATACAGCAGCCCGGCTTCCTCCTCCACCTTATCGAGCTGGGACTTGGCTTGGTTTTAGTTTTCTTTTAAGAAGCCGGGCAGTTTCCAATAAAGTCGAAAAATAAGTGTGTATTTCCTGTTAAGGAAGCTGGGTATTTTTAGTCGTTTTAATTTCTGTAAGTGCTTCAGTTCCCACTAATTTAGAAGATTAGTGTTGATTTTCTGTCTTTTACCACTTTGTTTCTGTGTTTTCATGTGAAACTGTCTCATCTCTCTGGGATGGAGTTAGCAGCAGGTGTTGCACAAAAAAAGATTTCCTAATTTTTGTGTAACATTATTGTTTCATCTCTCACTATGTGACCAGTTTTTTTCCCCCTTCTTTTAACATTTGTCAGAATGTCTGATTTAATGCAGAGTTATCTGTACCTTTTTTGGTCTGTTTGAGATCTTAGCCTCGTTTCCAGCATCTGCTTAAAATTCTTCCCAAAATTGTTCAAAACATTTAATAGGACTGAAAGCTCATAGCAGATCATACAAGTGGATTTCTTTCAGTTTTATCTGAAACCAATTGGGTTAGCGGTCCCTGATCGAAACCTTTCTACATTTTCCAACAATTTGTTGCTAAATATTTCTCCTCTGCAGGTTTGGTGTTATGCTACTACTTCATTGATCCAAATTAACAAACCTACTGACCTCTATTGTTTTCCTTTGTTATGGCATTAAGAGTGGAATAGTTCAAGGTGTTGACACACCTTGAACACACGGTGGTGTTCACACCGTGGCTCTGAGGCAGAGCCACCGTGTCCCACCAAAATTATTCCTTTTTTCACATTTTTTTTCTGAAACAGTACGGGTTATATCCTAAAATATGGAATCAAGAAAGGTAAAAATGGGCATAAAACCTGTGAGGCTTTATCGCAGTGTTTATTAGGACAGTGCGGTCCTGGGTTTAAGTCCCAGCCTGGGGTTTTTTCATTGAGTTTGCATGTTCTCCCTTTGCATTCTGGGTTTGCATTCCTACCACAATCCAAACATGATTTGTAGGTTAACTAAATATTTTAAATTGCCCTTGGGGTATCAGTGAGAGCATCCCTGGTTCCATGTCTATTGTCCTGGTATTCTTAGGACTTAAATGGGATTCAAATAAACTCAATATACTCAATATAATTGCTGTATTATTTCATTGTACAGTTCAAAAAACTATCTTGATATTATGTATAATTGTAAAATGAAAGCTCTGGTTGTGAAGACCGCTGGTCTCCATTGTTCTCCTCACTTGAAGGTTTGTTCCCAGGCGAAGTATGGCGATGACTGGCCAGAGCTCGTGTGCTTCGATGAGTAACCACACCAAGGAACGGGTCACCATGGCCAAAGTGACCCTGGAGAACTTTTACAGTAACCTCATTGCTCAGCATGAGGAGAGAGAGATGAGGTGAGATTCAGATGTTTCAGCTCTGCACATGACGCTCATGCGTTATTACAAAATTTCACATGTAAACAATTTCTATGAAAATCCATCTTAAGTTGAAAGAAACATAGTTGATTTTTGTTTTGCTTTTTTAAGCTTAAACGAGAAACACGCTTCATCAGGATGTGGGCTATGTCATGATGAAGTAAGGGCAGGGCTGCTTCCTGTTGTGGCAGGTTGCATCACAGAGTACGCTGCTCATCATCTCTTTGGGCTTTTATTTATGCAATACATGCAAGAATTTTTTTTATTTTATTTCAAAATGTAGATGTTATGTGAACTAACCAGTGATGCTGTACTAAGAGGGCTGAAAGGGGTTCTGAAAAAGTACTTTAATAATTTATTTCATTTTTATTGTTTTATCTTTTCCACACTAAGTGAAAAATCCAGAAACTGTGTGAATAGCCATTGCAACAAGTAAAATGTTTTAATGCTTTATGGTGGAGGGAGGGTTGATGCTGTGGGCTTGTTTTACTGCCACCTAGAGTTGACACAGAACTTCCCAATCTTCTGGTTTTCATTGCTCAACTTGAAACACTTCCTGATTTCATAACTCTGTCCACCTCTTTTATAATCCAGATCAGTTGGTATCCAGTTAGATTATTTATACAACATGTTTGCGCAAATGAGTTTCTAAACCAGATCAGTGACTGGGGCTGAACATGACCGATGCGTGGAGGCTGCTGCAGACTGGAAGCAAATGGCTTTAGCCTCTGCTAAAAACAACCTTCAGAAGAAAAAACTATGTGCTAGCTAAAAAATATTGTCGTTTGGCCAATTGTCTGCACACAGACTCAATTATTACAGCTGGAAACTAGTGATCAGGCCTGAAATCTGAAATCAGACGTGAACCTTGAGAGCCATATAAAGACTTTTACAAAGTCGGCCTTCTGTCACCTGAAGAACATTTCCAGGATTAGAGGACAGATGTCTCAGCGAGATGTAGAGAAACTCATCCATGGGTTTCTTTAGACACATTCATTACTGCAACTGCATATTCGAATATTTTACCCAAAAAATCAACCAAACAGCTGCTGCTGATGTACAGCAGTGCTGTTCACTTTCTCACTAAAACCAGGAAGATAGAGCAAATCTATCTTCCTGGTGTAAATCTTCCTGGTAGCTCAGAGAATAGACTTTAAAATACTATTGTTAGTTTTTAACAATGTGGTGTTAAAGATTTGTTGTTGTATCAACCTTCCAGACCTCTTAGGTCTTCTGGTTCTGGTCGGTTCTGAATCCCCAGTTAAGTTTGTCTCTGGTTTCTCAGTCGATGACTGTGTGTTGTTTGTATAACTCTTTTATGGTGTAAAGCACTTCCCTGTATAATGCAGTTCATTTGAATGAACTTGATCTGTACAGGCAGCAGAAGCTGGAGAAGGTGATGGATCAGGAGGGGCTGGCTGATGAAGAGGTGAGATTCTACAACCCAACGCAGATGAATGCACATATTATGTATTTTAATTTGTGAAAGGTTAAATAATATATACTGGTTTGGACAATTGCAAATGAAGTTTTCATCATTAAAAATTCCAGTTGTTTGTGTATCAGGCATGCCAGTAATCGTTTGAACATTCTTAAAATGCTTGTTTTTCAGAAACGTATCCGGCGTTCCGAGCATGCCCGGAAGGAAACGGAGTTCCTGCGTTTAAAACGCACTCGGCTGGGACTAGAGGACTTCGAGTCCCTGAAGGTGATTGGCAGAGGAGCATTTGGAGAGGTACATTTTTACTTCTTCTGTCGATTGTGAAAAAGATTCGAGAACAAAATGTGTTAAAAGACCAGCAAAAAGCATGAGTAACAATGCAATATGCCCCTTCTGATCAGTATTTAGCAGATGTACCCTGGTAGGGACTCTGTTTGGACAGGCCTAATGCGCTACAGGCCCCATGTCAAACATTCATTTCTTGTTACTCTAGCAAAGTTGTTGTGATCCATTATCATCATGCTGAGCAACTTATTCTTGAGATCATGTTATCTGTAACAGCTTAGTCTTTTGTAGAGGGGACCTTTTGTTTTCACAAAATTGTTTCAGATCATCATTTGTGTTGTTCTGTCTGCAGGTTCGCCTGGTGCAGAAAAAAGACACGGGGCACGTCTACGCCATGAAGATACTCCGTAAAGCTGACATGTTGGAGAAAGAACAGGTAAACACACACACACACACACACACACACACACACAGGTACGTTCCTTTGCACCAACTGGGTTTAGCTGAAGCATTGGCTGTCTCCAGGTGGGCCACATCCGTGCTGAGCGGGACATTCTGGTGGAAGCAGACAGCCTGTGGGTGGTGAAAATGTTCTACAGTTTCCAGGACAAGATGAACCTTTACCTCATCATGGAGTTTCTCCCTGGAGGTACAACTTTGTGAAGATTTTTACAAAAAAAAAAAAGGAATGTCGATTCAATTGTATTGAACAATGCTAAATGCACTCCATAAAGTGACCAATAACAGCAACAATAATAGCTAAAATAAGGAATAATAAACACATCAAAAATATGGGACTAAATGTTCCAAGTTACTTTCCGTGCTCCTGTCCTCTTGAAGAGTGACAGATCCAGCATAGAAGTGTTTCATTCATAGGAAAAAATAGCTTTTCAGTTCAAAGTTTGGTTTTTCAGCTTGTTGAGGAAAGGAGAGATGTAACTGGATATCTGCACATCCTGCTGTCTGTTGCAGGAGACATGATGACTCTGTTGATGAAGATGGACACTCTGTCAGAGGAAGCCACTCAGTTCTACATTGCAGAGACGGTGCTGGCCATCGACTCCATCCACCAGCTGAGCTTCATCCACAGAGACATCAAACCTGACAACTTGCTGCTGGACGCCAGAGTGAGTCCAGTCCAACCATTATCTACCAGCATTACTGTATACAGAATTGAAACATTGTCTGTGATTTTTACGCCCTTTGCTTTATTCAGGATGAATTACCTCCTTACGATAGTAACTTTCGGATTATGCGTAACGCATACAGTGACACTGATGTAATGTGCAGCTCTACTGTTTCCAGCTTGTGGCTCTTATCTAATCCTATCTTTAATTCGTCCTGTGTTGGTTCAGGGTCACGTGAAGCTGTCAGACTTCGGCTTGTGCACTGGGTTGAAGAAGGCTCACCGCACAGACTTCTACAAAAACCTGAATCACAGCCTGCCCAGTGACCTCAGTAAGCAAAGTCAGGCAAAGTTTTACTTTACTTCTTCCAACCGTCGTTGCCGTCATCATTGCATCCTTGGCTGCTTGCATTTGTGCATTGTGTTTAATTTGATGTAGTGACAGACAAAAGACTAAGACTTGTAAACAGTGGTAACTTGACACCTTTATCAGACCTTTCCAAAAGGTGAGTATGTTAAGGCTTTCTAACATTTTTTTTTCATAAAATTTGCAACAACATTGCTATATTTCAGCTTGTCCTAAGAGGCAAAGTGCAAAAATGTTTTTTTTTATTGAAATAGGCCTCATCTAGTTCTTCTTATTTTTCTGCAACCTAAAGATGCGTACTTATATTTCTAGTGTTGTCTGTGTAACCAGCATGGCTGCTTTGCTTGTTTTTGTGCTTTCTGGAATCATTTTGAAAACTTTTTAGATTATTTCTGTTAGACAATTTGTCCTGCATCTTTTGGCAACTGCAGAAGAGCCAATGCTAATCTTCACTCATGTGTTATGGAAGAGAAAAATTTCATCATAAGCTTTATTTTTTCAGTTAGTCAAACAAGGCAAAGTGAAGGAAAACAATCTTGTTTTGTTAAAAAAAATAAAAATAATAAATTGTCTTTAAGTAATAGTGAGGTTGATCCTCAGAAACTGATGGTTTGTCTGTGCAGCCTTTCAGAACATGAACTCTAAGAGGAAAGCTGAGACCTGGAAGAGGAACAGGAGGCAGCTGGTAGGTCTGAACAGATCTCACGACACCTCATTTACATTTTGGTTGCATGTTACAGGAAGTGGTATTTTGTCTAGACTGTCTATAAGAATATGTGAATACCTGCTAACATGAGCAATATTGCGTCATTTATATGTCATATTGTTTTTAACCAAACCATCAAGCTACAACATATCATATCAAGGCTCCTTCAGTTCAATCATACAAATCCAATTGGCCCTTGTGACAAAACAGTGCATCAAGTTCACTTTATTCACACTTCCAGGCTGAACTGGTGTGTGTGTATGAGAAAGTAATCAATGTTTGGGTTCAAACAATTAGCCTGTGATTAGCCAGTGGCTGAGAGCAGCTCATGATCTGATGATCAAGATGCAGCAGCACCTGAAGGTAGCGAAGATCGACGGGTAGCACATCTCGACAGAGCACAGTTTAATCACGCTGTCATTCAATTACACAGCGACGGAGAGCAACCCCAACATCTGAAATCTGAAGCTGTAGAATATCTTTGACCCCGATGAGGTCACTGATGGAGGAAGTCAGTGTTACTATGGCGACAGACTTTTAATCTGGAAAGTTTCTCAGTTTTTACTTTATTTCCTTTAGGTTAATTCTGCAGCAGTTTCCTCCCACAGACAACATGACCTCTAAAGCCTCTGTAGGCCTGATGGTGTCATGATTATTTTGGTAATAGATGAGTCTGACAATTCAGTCGGTTATTTAAAAAAATGGCCCATTCCTCAGACTTTTCATCTAACCACTTAAGCCTTTTTTATGCAATATTAGAAATACATTGAGAGGTGGAAATAAACAAATAATTAAATTCCTCAAGAAAATAAACATTTCATTGTCTAAAATGCGATGTCAGAGCAGGTGAATTTTAAACCCCCGGTAAATGGCTCTTTTTGCATCACAATGCTCCAGTTAATGATTAATCAATTACAATTATTATTTTAGTAATTAATTAATCACGAGTAATCTGTTTAATCGTTTAAGTCCTACCCGTAAAGATTGTGTGCTATTACTGCAGCCTGCTGTTGACATGAATGAAAATGTAATTCTTCCAGCACCTGGTACCTGGTATTCCAGGTATCTGGTCACTTAAGCAAACATAAGTGACATCACTTATTTTGGCACCAGATAAGTGATGGGAACTTTAGGAATGTCTAAGTTCACATTCAGTCATAACTCTGAATGGCCTTTAAAGGACTGAATGGGATGCTTTGGATTCCTTGGAACTATGTGCAGCTTGTTCACCCAAAGAAGGAACTCAACAGACAGAATTGTGGTAGTTGCACCACACAATACTGTCTGTGCATCTTATTGTCAGGGAAACTTTGACTCATTACAGCTGTTTCCCTCCGCCCTCATTTCTAGTCTAAACTGCTTTATTATCTTGTGATAACAAATGTGCTTTAATTGTTTCCCTCTCATTCAGGCTTTTTCCACAGTGGGAACCCCAGACTACATCGCTCCCGAGGTCTTCATGCAGAACGGATACAACAAGCTGTGTGACTGGTGGAGCCTTGGTGTCATCATGTATGAGATGCTGATAGGTAATGCTGGGGCCGCCAGCCACTGTGTACCAGTGTTGTTGGGGTGTTATGTGACGAACGGCTGGTCTGCTGCAGGGTACCCTCCGTTCTGCTCCGAGACGCCTCAGGAGACCTACAGGAAGGTGATGAACTGGAGAGAGACGCTCACCTTTCCCCCAGAAGTGCCAATATCAGAGAAGGCTAAAGACCTCATTCTCAGGCAGGAGAACAGACCTCATTCACTTTGCATCACCTTTACTGAATAATGAGTTTCAGTAGAGGTGAAACTTATTCATTATTCATTTGTAAAAGAATGTGCCGTAAAGCGTTCCAGCTGCTGATCAGATGTGCGTGTTCAGGTTCTGCTGTGAGGAAGAGAACAGGATCGGGGCTGCCAGCGTGGAGGAGATCAAGTCCAACCCGTTCTTTGAGGGGGTGGACTACGACCACATCAGGTAGGACAGCTGGCCGCTCAGCGCCACCAAACACATGCTGATGTTCAGATTTTCAGCCCACGGCTCAAGACTTCTGTGTCTTCAGTATAATTGGGACTTTGCCGTTTATACATGGATGTCTTATGTTTTAGCGGTCAACATTAACACATGAACCTGAAAATTTCAACGTGTTAATTTTGCATAGTGCAGATTAATCAAACTACCTATTTTGACCTAAAAGCCTTGTTCAGTTCAGTAATGGACTCCACACACCAGGAGCGACAAACAACAGAGAAAGGTTGAAACTTTTTCAACTTGTGTTTTTGCATTAGCCAGTGTGTGCACGTCTACATGCACAAGCTCAAAATTTCACATGGACGAATTACGTCAGTCACTCAGCTGGATGAGGACAAGCGGCTATCGGCTCATCATGCATAATCCATAGGAAATTATGGACAGCTCCACTATTGTGCTCCCTTACACAAGCTAAGATAGTCGGTGGCCGGTTCAAAACATGTTCATTACATTTAACACAGCTAATCATTCTTAGTTATTGAGATTTCACCTTTCAGTTCAGATGTTGCAGGTGACCTTTAAAAATAAAATGGCTTCCTTTAAGTCTTCTTCAATATGAAAACCAGGAACTGAGAATCTTCAGACATGTTTAGTTTGAGAAAATAATACATTTTCTTAACTGTATGCACATTAAGAATGTATTCACATTTTCATAAAGCCGTGTGCGCGATTTTTGAAAATGTGAAAACCATGACGGTTTTTCATACAGGCTGGATTGGCACATGCCCATGGAGGCATCAGACAGGTGTGGCTTAAGCAAAAAGCTGAGAAAAAAAATAAACAAAACAACAAATAACATGCTTCATAAATGAATTAAGAAGTTCCTGTAAACAAATTGCCCCTAAAAAAACAATGTTTAGATGAGACAAAAGTGACTTTTGTCATCCAGTTTTTGGTAGAAAGAGAGAGAAAAGAGAAAACAGTGAATCATGTCGAGAAATTATTTTAATTTCTATTTTTGTGATAGAAATGAAGATATGAAACCCTTACGCGCAATTAATCGATTTATTGCTTATTGCAAGAAAATGATTAACAATTCTGGACTTGGCCTCATATGAAACCCTTTCCTGGCGATACGTTTTTCAGTCCGCTGTGCGTTTCATTTAATCTGATTGCGTCTCAAATGAGCTGTGTCTCCCAGTCAGCAGACCCTCTCCTCCTCTCGTCCTGCAGAGAAAGACCTGCTGCCATTCCCATAAACATCAAAAGCATTGACGACACGTCCAACTTCGACGAGTTCCCCGATTCGGACATCCTCACTCCAACTAGTAAGCCTCCCGTTTTCTGGTTACCTGATACACTTTGTGCCCGAACGGGAAAGTGGTTTACCCCCTTTCTGTTTGTGTTTTTGTTTTTTCTTTCCTTCAGCCACCCAAGTGTCCAATCACAGCGAGGCTGACCTGAAGAACAAGGACTGGGTCTTCATCAACTACACCTACAAGCGCTTTGAGGGTCTGACGGCTCGAGGAGCCATCCCATCCTACATGAAGTCAGGGAAGAGATGACTGGCTGGAAGCGGACCCTGAAGGAATGCTGCTGCTGTGTGTGTGTGTGTCAAAACACACACACACCTCTGCTCAGTTATCAGAGCAGCAGCCAGCAGAGAACCAACACAGCTCATCCTCCTTCACTGCTTTCCATAGGAACCTTCCTGGAAACTTGCTGCCTTCACTTTAGTCCAAGCTTCTGAGGGTACCTCTCCGCTTCCCGTTGTCGCAGACTGAACTGGGATGAGTCTGACTTTCTTCCTCTGCACCAGGGAACGGTGCATTTTGTCTCCAGGTAACCAGCATCATTACATTCCCTCTCTGTACCAGCATCGTTGGCTTGGATCTACCAAGGGCTCTTCCTCCAGACGGGAGCGTTCTCTCCTCGTCCCGCTCTGGGGGCTTCATCAGCTCAGACATCGTATCGAGTCATCGCTTTGAAGTGAACCGGGCGCTCTTCAGGGATTCTGTCCTCCTACTTTTCTTTCTCCACATCACCTAACCAAAGACTGAAAGAACTTCTGCTCCATCTTCCTTTTGCAACTTTTTCCTAAACTTCCAACTTTGTATTTTTCTAGGATCCAGATTTGCACGATTTTGCTCTTTAACGAATGCAAAAAGTGGGCGAATTATGCATTTTGTGGAACAAACACAAGGTCTTGTTACATTTTTGTGATGAAGCATGTAAACTTCAGCACATTAGGTGAAGTGGCTGAAGATCCAGCACAGCTAGCACCACCTGCTAGATCCTGCATTGTGTAAAAGCTTTTTAAAAATATCACCTTTTAATAATAAGTAGGGGGATTTCTTTATTTTAAATTGGCCAGTGGTTAAGGTGTCGCTATGGAAACGAGAGGCTTGGCTGAAGAAGCTCCAATAAAATAAAAAGGAAAAAGATAAATACTCTTCTACCATTCTTTACTTTCAAGAAGTGACGTCAGATCCCAGATCAGCTTAAAAACACGTGAATGCGTTTCAGTAAACGTACAGCTTAGCCTTGTTCGTCACCAGCAGAACTTTCACACACACACACACACACACACACACACACACACACACACACACACACACACACACACACACACACACACACACACACACACACACACCTCTGACCCTGCTGTTCAACAATTCATCGAAGGGATTCAGTTAATTTAAAACAGTTCATTTGACTCGTTGATAAATGTCTAATTGGAGCTAATTAATAAACCTGTCAAGAGATTTAAGAAGAAAAGAAAAATCGACTTTGACCTGTTTTGACCTTCGAAATGAATTGCTGGGTTTTATTAACCGCGACAAGTAAAACACGTCCAGTCAGGTTCCGACTTACTCACCCTGGCAGGTTTTGATTGAACGTAACCTTCTGGACGTCTCAACGGGACGTCAATCTGACGGAACCAAAGATTAGGGTGATGGAGCAGAGGACCGCCAACCTCTAACATGTGAAGCACATCCTTAAAAATCAAGAACAGATGGAGGCGAAAACATGCAGAAATATAAAAAGAGAAAGTGAAGGCTTTTCCACTGATTACCAAGTTTTTTCTTTTTTGTTCAACTGAAAGAAATTTTAATTTCATTTCCCGTTTTGGTGGCCCTGCTATAGGAAGAGCTGGTGCCAGCTTCCAATCATAACCCTTAAACCTAAAGCAAACATAAGAACTACCAGTAAATCTGCAGGCATAATAATAATTTCCAGCCTAACTAGATGTGAAATGAAACCCCTGAAGAAAAATTTTGGTTCCACATGCAGAGAGTTCCTGGCTCTCCTCTAGGCCCCGCCTTCTTTCTGCTGCTTTAACCGCTTGCTGCTCACAGTGTTGCAGTCGTTCTCTGCTGGCTCACGTTTGCTTAACTAGCTGGAATATCAGCTGAGAGTGCAGCTGTGTCGAGCTGTCGGGTCGCCTCTGAGAATCTGGACATTCTCAGAGAGGCGACTGTGCAGATTCTCTTTGGTTTGTTCCTAAGAAATCCTCCTGAGCATTCGCTTCAAGCACAGCAACTAAGATCCGGTTTGGATGTTTCTTTAGTAGCACAGGGCTGAAAACTTTCCAGTGAACACAATATCCAATATGCTGTCTTATTTTATTTTATTTTTTACAAATGAATGTACATTTTTGCAGTTTGATTTTTAGTTTTACTCACAGGAGTTTAACTATGTTGCTGTAAATGAAGCCTGGATCACGTATGTTTTCATTTTATTTGGACTTTGACACTTTAAGTTATGAGGCGAAGATCTGTCGAAACCCATTCCCGCCCGGTGACACCAGCAGACGCAGGAAGTAGGAAAAGCTTTTTATTTTTGTCAAATGTTTTGCGTTTTCCCACATAAAAAGTGACAAAGAAACCGAAATGAAAAATGAGAAGGTGACAATCTGATATAAAGAGAGAATGTTAAGTGACCTACAACAGAAATGTGTATCTTTTAGTCTAATTTCCAACTTTTTATTTTTTATTAAATCTATCCAGTCTAGCAGGAATGGTCTTCCATATCAATTGCGTTATGGTGTGTTCAGGTAGTGTGTAGATGGGAAGCAGCACATTATACAATGTTTTAGAGAAGCACGTGGTGGAGCTTTTTTTATTTAATTATATATATATATATATAAATCTATTTTTTAAACTGCTTGTGCTGTTGAAGAGCTTACGTGCTTTTCAGGCTTTTACCAAACAGCAACATGTGCGCTGAGAGCAATACGACACATGGAGTAATTTCTTAAAAACGTGTGGGTGAGATTCTAAGTCTCTGGGACAGGATAGCATGTGGGTCTGTGTGGAGTGTTTCTTTTTTTATTTTATTTTCGGCAGAAGTTGCTCATGTGTGCATGTAACATGTTGCGTCTGATGGGATTTGGGAAGTTGAGTGTACAATATTTAAACTACTTGGTATGTATTGTGTGACTGGTGTATCGTTTTCTGCTACTTGACAATGAATTACTCTGCACTTAATCTGGCCTCCTGTTTTCATTCACATGCTTTCTGATTGGGATCAGAAGTTACTGGCGACTCCAGTGTGTGTTTACATCACCAGACAGCAGTCATACGGATCTGACTGGAGAACCAAACACTGACTCTCACGGGCAAGTCGAGCCAATTTATTGACCCAAAGAATTTCTTTTTATTTATTATTCGCCTTCATATCCAACACATTAAACACTGATAATCTTGATATTACATAATCTCAGATTTTTTATCCAACCAAGGTGTTGGTTTCTGTTAGGATTGCTCAAAAACATAATGTGATGTAAATTTAAGGATCAGCTAAAGAAGAAAAAGTCAAAAATTGGTGAAAACCGTAATCAGGGCCTGGTTGTAATTGCTGAGCAGTTTGGAAAAATGAAAAGATTACTTTAATGCCAAGCCTCCTAGTGGTATGAATAATTGTGGACTTAACTGAAGGTCTAAAATTCAATCAGGAAGAGTCATATTTAGTGAACTTGTGGCCAACGTCAGCATCATTGCTATCAGCGAATTCAAAGCAAAACAATTTCATAAAAATGGTAGAAATGTTATTTAAACCAGAGTCACATCAGTACAAAGGCTCATTTATTTAAAATGTGGATTGCTCTTACAAATTAAAATATTTTCAACAAGAAAAAAGTCTTTTAGGAAATTTATTTTCTAAATGTAATTACTTACTGCAGAATGGAGTTTTTCATGAAGTATCCAAAGTTGAATAGGAATTTGAAATATTGGATTTTTTTCACAACAAAAACACAATAAGATCTGAGTTCATCTTTAATGTTACCATGACGCTGAAAATATTCCACAAGAACAATCCGTCAAACTAACCTCTTATGATTCCCTTAAAACTTGAAAAGTTTGTTTTTTAATTAGCTGGTCAAAGAAAAAACTACATTTATCAGAATCTTTCATGAATAAAGTTCCTGAGCTTCCAGCAGAGCTGATCCAAAAAGGGTCCACTTTAGAACTACAACAAGCTAAAACAATTGTTTCATCATCCATTCAGTATTTTTTTCTCAATCATAATGCTGACTATAAGCACATGCTCATAGCATAAATTGAGCGCATAAAATAATATCCAAACAAAACACACCAGAAGAAATGATCCGATGAAGTTGAACATTTAAATCACCGCTGGAATTCCCAGATATCAACATTTCCATCATCTGATTGATACAATCCAAACATGTCCTGTTCTCTTCAGGACAGACGGACGAGTCTCAGCAGGCTGGAGGGCTCTGTCTCCATGACAACTGAATACACACATTAGGATGAGCTTCAGTTCAGCTGTGTGCTCCAGCTGGACGTCTAGCTGTAGTTCCTTAGAAACACCAGCCTATGAGGCAAGAACTTCTCCCGGCACAAAGGACACTCGGCCTGGATCACACAACACACACACAACACACACACACACACACATTTTATACATCTCTGGAGAAAATTAAGAGGCCGCTGCATTGAAAACCTCACAGTTATTCCACCAAATACTGATTTGTGAACTCTTTCTAAATGAATCTAAACTTGTTATATTTGGATTATTTGAGGGCTAAATGCTCTGCGGCTGGATGGAGGTGGGTTAGCTGTGACGTCCAGCAGGTCTGGAGCGGACCAGAGTCTGACCTTAGTGTTGCACCACTCGGCGATGCACTCCCAGCAGAACAGGTGTCCACAGGGGGTGCAGGTGGAGTTCCTGCGGGCCTCCAGACAGAGGATGCAGCGCGCAGGTCGGGGCGTGGAGGCGGAGCTCGCTGGGGGCCGAGGACTAATTACACACAGGAAGCTCTTATGAAGGACTTCTATGACAATGTTTTCATTTAATTAACACATTTCTATCCAAAAAAAACCCTCTACAATGGCTGAGAATGGTTTCAACCAGGAAAGTGAGCGTGTGGCGTTGTGGCGCTCTACCTGAGGCTCCTGTAGAGCTGCCACTCCTTCCTGGCTCTCTGCCTCTGCCTCAGGTTGTTGAGCTGCAGACTCAGAGTGACGAGCAGCTGGAGAAAAGATACGCAACCCAGCAGCCGGTAGCTTCTCCTAATGGACGAGTCATCAGCGTTCGGCGTCGTCACACACAGCTGAACACACACACACACCACTGACAACTCAACATTTACTTCCCTATTGGTGTTTTGTTTTCGTCTGACTGAAAATATTGAAAGTTACATCCTAAAACATAACAAAGAGCACCGGAAGACTGAACTTACATGCAGGAAATAGTTTCTTTCAGGGGGAAATATATCGAAATGGAATCATATGGATAGTACGTTCAACCTCACGTTGAATATTTAAGTACATAAAACTAAAAACTGAATTTAATTTGAAAAAATACTAAAAATGGGTATGTCAAATATAATTTCAAGAAAATAAAGATTTTATACTTTCCATTTGAATTTTTATCATTTTATTCACCCAGTAATAAAAATTAATAGTTTATCTAACTAACCGATTAACAAAGGCTTAAAATCAGCCTCTGTCTTCTTTTGCTTTGGTCTGACTGTTGGCCCCGCCCACCTGGTCATGTCTGCAGGTTGCAGTAAACAACAGTCAATCACTGTTGCCAACTCAGTGACTTTATTGCTATATTCAGCAACATTTCAGATAAAAAAAAGTGCTTTTGACTAAAATCAGAATCAGCAGGTCAGGCTTTTTAAAAGATTGGAAAATCACAAATTTTCCAGAATAAATACAGTCACTGAACTCCTAATATATAGATAGATAACTGTAATAGGAAAATACCCCAAAACATTTAGGTTAAATCATTTACTGAATTCTAGTGTTAATGTAGAGATGGAAATCAACAGGACTGATGCTCTTTGGTTCTGACTCAGACTTTGTTTGATGGAAAGTATTTGGTGAGCAGTCAGTGTCTGGTCTGACTTACGTAGCTGATTCCAGCTGCTCTCTTGGACATGTGGTAGAAGGAGCTGCTGATGTAGAACAGAGCGACATGGAGCCGGTGCAGCAGGGCTACGCTCTGCTGCACCACAAACACGGCCGGTTGGCAGGCCTTCCTCTGCCGCTCCGTCAGCAGCCCCACCGCCCTCTGCGCCGCCATCCTGAGCCAGTGCTCCAGGCTCCAGGCCGCCGACGTCGCCTGGCGCCGCCGCGCCTCCGGCCCGCCTTCCAGCTCGTTCTCCAGACACACTAGGACCTTCTCCAGGAGGTACGGCACAAAAGCGTGACAGAGGACGAAGAGGCAGCGCCTGGCCCGGGACGGGATCCGCCAACGGGAGGGATCCACCTGGACGATCCCCACATACTCCTCGCCCAGAGTCTGAAAACCTGAGCACAGTCCGGATCCGTCGTTTAACCGGCTTCGTTCATTCGATGAGGTTATAGCTCAACTTTTAAATTAAATAACGACCTGAGAGCGTGGTTAAACAGTAGTAAGCCAAGTCTGACAGCAGCTCCACCTCCCTCCTCCAGTCCAGCCAGTGTTTGGATCCTGCAGAAAAAGAGGAAATAAAACAACTCTTCATCTGAAAATTACCAGCAACGATAAAACGTCGTTGTAAACCCGCTAAAAACACAATGTAAGGAAATGCTACAGTGGCCCCTTTAACTTTTCCACATTTTCACACAATATAAATATAAACATAAATATATTTCATTGAAATTTCATTTGAAAGACGAACACATACAATTGTGAAGTAGTAAGAAAATTAGACACGATTCAGAAATACGTTTTGTGTTAACATATGTTAAGAATAAGGAAGCGCAAACAGCATCGTAAGTCAGATTTCACAGAGTGCTGCTCAAGACGAGGCCGTCCACCCAAACTTCCAGGCTGAACAAGGAGAGAGCTGGTCAGAGATGCAGCCAAGAGGCCCACGGCGACTCTGGACCAACCGCAGAGATCCACAGCTCAGGTGGGGCAATCTGTCCACGGGTATTTACGTCTCAAAGGTCAAAAAGGTAAACTGTGGCCCCAAATCCAGGAGGAGTAGAAAATGAGGACGAAGTTCAAACCATCCCTTTCATGTATCACAATGAAAAAAGTGTCATATCCCGACTCTAATGTCTCTCTGCTCAGCTTTCTAACCATACAGAGAGTGAAAACAAAGAGAGCAGCAAAAACAAATTAGATGGATCAGCAGTGCTTCATGAGAACCAAAGACATTTGTAGTGTGGAATGTCATCTCTGCTGCCTGATACTGAGCAGTTACCATGTCAGACTGACAGACAGCAACAGTTTTCAGTCAGAGGCCTCTTCACATTCGCTGGAAGACTGACTGCTAGTGGAGACTCTTCCTCTCCACAGCCTCACCATCCACAACAGCTTTTTGAATGTGCTTGGATGACATGAAATATGACAATATGTCATTTTCCTTTGGGGTGAATAAAACAGCTCTGAATTAAACTGAAATGGGAACAACTCAGCATGAAACACCAGATATCAGCCAACCTGTTCAAACATCAGCATTGACAGCCATCCTGTGATCAAATCACGCTCACGTAGCAAGGCCACCATGTTCCCTTTTGAATGTCCTACAGACAGACCTACACTTTGTTCCCCAACAGAGACAAGAAAGATGAAGTTCACTAAAAAGTTTGTTGCTCCTTCTAGGAAAACATGACAGCGGGCTGACTGACAGTCAGTTTTCCGAGTAAAGCAGACAGAATTTCAGAAGCAGGTGGATTTCTGGCTCTGGCTCCAAACCGAGGAGAATCTGCCAGAGATCGGTTACCTGCGACGCTCTGGCAGGCTTCATTAGCGCTGTTCCTCAGGAGGCTCCGGTAGAATTCATCCTTCTGACTGGACCGGATCAGCTGGGCCTGGTTCGCAGGAGCCAGAGGCATCTTCCCCGGACCTCAAGCGGGACGGTTCGCTGCAGCACAGTCACGAACTCCGGTCATAGCGCCCGTGTAGCGGGGAGAACGCGTTGGAGAGTCTCCGGTTTGTATCCAGGCAGCGCAGAACGGTTGATATCACTTCCGGACTTCTTCTTCGTCGTTTTTTTTAACTGGCGGTTGGTAAACAGCTTTAGGAAACACTACCGCCACCAGCTGGTCAGGAGTGTGGACCAAATAACGAGTAGTAAAATAAAATAAACAACAACAACAATAACAACAACAACAATAATAATAATAATAATAATAATAATAATATAATAATAATAATAATAATAATAATAATAATAATAATAATAATTAAACCCTCAATTCAATTCAATTTAATTTAATTTCCTACAAAGGTATTAAATGACAAAAGAAGGATTAAGTACAGAACGAACTGTAAGCCTCTGGACGTGTAAGAAATAAACAAAGACAACTTTCCTGCTAAGGTTTATTAACAAAAATAATCCAAAACAAAAATAAGAATTAAACCAATTACCAATAAAAACAATGTAATGATGTCACAAGTTTATTCAGTGGAATTTGGAAATTAGGTCTAATTAGATGAAAGTTGATTAAGATTAGTTTGCCAAATATGTTGTGAATTACTCACACAGTAGCACCAAAATATCTAAGAATACAACACAAAATAACTTGTGTGTGTGTGTGTGTGTGTGTGTGTGTGTGTGTGTGTGTGTGTGTGTGTGTGTGTGTGTGTGTGTGTGTGTGTGTGTGTGTGTATTATAGTAATCTCATAGTTGAGTGTGAATGTGTGGTTCAGTCCTTCATGGCTGAGTCCAAACAGTGATTAGCGATAACCATCTGATCTGACAAGCCATTAAATAAGTGTACCTAATGAAGTGAGTACAAATGGTTTAACTCCAGAAGTTTGGGTGCAGTTTCCAAGGGGAGATGGTCTGCCATATTGGCTTTAACTTCAGGGTTTTATGGAGAATTCACATTTTTTTCAAAGTTCACTTTTCCCAGCATGAAGGAAACATGTTGTTACAGCCTAGTGCATCACATCTCCCTGGACTGAACACAGAGATGTTCCTCTGCAGGAAACGGTCAAGCCTTTTATCTTTGCCTGAACGTTTTGTTTTGTGTCTCTGCTCCATAAACGAATAAGTCAGGTAAATGAAGCAGAGGGTTAAATTTAATATCAGTTTGAGATAAAGTAAAAACATTAGTGGAGTGAAATAAAATAAGAAAATGCTCTACAGATACACAACCGAGCTTTCTGAACCCGTTGCAAGGAAATACTTGCTGACCTCTCTGTTAAATTACTCATACAGTCATTCTGAGCTGATACAGAGCAGCTGAGATCTGCTTGGAAAGTTGCAGAACCAGTTCTTTTGTCTTGTCAGAGCTGCCAGGGTGGTGTATTATAACCTCCATCCCATTCTAAGCCCATTCCTATCTTGTTGCAGACACTTTTCGGAGCACTTGAATCAACCCTTGGATCACGGCCCGTCCATCCCACTCATCAGGAAGCTGAACTTTGTTCAAAGCGAGGGGGGAGGAGTCAACGGATTGCCTTTCCCTCCTTCCTTCAACTTGGCAGCTAATTGTGAGTTGCTGCAGAGGAAAGGTGGAAGGTGTGGGAAGTGCTTCAGTGTTTGGAATAAACCGTCCATGGAACAGTCTATGATTTCATAGGTAAGGATCTCCATGTTCATCTCCGTGTTTACTCCAGTGAACATCATCATGACATGACATGTAAGTTTCTGCCTTAAAGCCTGAGGGTTCAGAATGCTTTACTGATCACAGCAGCGGTATACCGGCAGTGTGTACCTGAGCTCCTGCTGCAGTCGTGTTGAGGAAAGGTAAACCAGTCACTTCAAATTCTAGGATGTTTCTGATTCAGTATAAATGTGTTTCATTCACCATCTTTGAGCTTATCGACAGCTAGACAAGCAGGAATAACAATCATCAGAAGTTACAAATGTCTAATGGTAAATAATTTTCTAAATAAGAAACATCCATTTATCAAGAAACATGTGCCAGGAAGTTTCCTCCATACATTTCTTTGCTGACCGAGTAACTTAATTTTAATTTTAATTTTATTTTATTTGAGCAACACTGTAAAATTACATCCAAATCAAATGGAAAACAGTGATTGCATTGCCACACAGTGCTGTCAGGAGAATCCACGTATTAGTCAGAAAGACAACAGTCAACTCTGGGAAATTTTAAAGTTGGGAAAGTTTTAAAGACAAATATACATGGCTCTGACCGAATGCTTTTTAAAGTTGTTTAAGCTCTGAACGTCTAAAATGTTCGACTTTCTGGAGTAAGATCGATTGAAGAAAAACCACCAGAAGATCACATTTCACAAATTCACTGATTTGTGGAACAGGTTTGCATGCTTCATCACGTTACACTGATGGTTCCCAAATAGTTAATAGAATGTGGCAAAAAGTCCCAGGTTTGAATTGCCCATGAGGGACCAATGGATTCTCTGCAGATGTTTAGCATGTACTGCAATTGTGATCAAGTTTTGGTACACAGCTCCTCCATAAGACAAAAACAGCAGCTGCTATAGGGAAAGATGTCAAGTTTAAGCTGAAACTCATTTTAGTCTTTCCTGGCTCATGACTGAAGAGGACGTGTAAAGTTAGTTGGCTTCTGTCAGTTCTATGATAACAACATAGAACTGACAGATTCCTATAATCATAATAGGAATATTTCATTTTTGCCAATAGATCATTTGAATTGTTGCTCAATGAAACTTTAGCAACTCATACAGATCATGGTCCGTTGTGTCAGATGGCCGTACACAGTGCTTTGGTTCTGCAGGATGTTTCTTCCTGTTAAAGGGGAGTATGCAGTTAGTATGTGCAGGGAGAGTCATAATACAATCGACTATCTACAGCGACTACATGCTGATCTGGAGACTGTTCCAAGTCAACGACTCGATGCAAATCTGCTCTTGGAGGATATGCCACGCTGTAATTAGACAATAAGTTTTTTGTTTTCCAAAGATGGTGTCTTCATTTTAGAATTGAATTCAATTTAGTTTAAATATATATTGCACATTTACAACAGATATTTTCTTCACTCGTGTTTACAAAAGGATAAAAGTGTAAAATTCCAGTTTATTCCATTCAAATCCATGGAGCTGATGTGTTTAGCTCCAACTCCATGCTGCCTGTGTATAATTACAGTCAGCTCATTATGTAGTAACAGAAAAACTAACTCATTGCATAAAGCTATGAGTCGGGGGTGTCTACCCACCTTGGTGTAGTGCTGTTTTAGTGGCTGTTCAGATCATAAGCCACCCAATGGCAACCGACCTTTTAGTTGCCGTTGGGTGACTGATGTTGGGGATGTGTCTGGCTAAAAGCTGCCTGTTGTTGAAATCCCTCCCTCCTGACCTCATTGGAGCTGGCTGACTTGATGGAAAGGTAAAGGATACATGCCCTCAACCTTTAGTCCCTCAGAGGTCTGGCTGGTGTGAGTCTAATGGGTTGTGTGTTGGAGACCGTTCCAAGCACACAACCCAGTTTGGGGCTCGGCCTGCATAGCAATCTTTTCTGATGACTTACCTCATATGGCTTTCCTGAGGTAGTATCTTGTATCTGGCTGGCTGAGGATGCTGCACCCTTTGCTGGTGTTGGTGGCTGAGCGTTGGATACCTCCAATTAACATTTTTGCTTTCTCTCGCTCTCCCTCCTTCTTGTTCTCTCTCTGTCTCTCTCTCTCTCACACACACACAAACACACGCACACACGCAAACACACAAGAATAGTTCCTTTGTTAGCTCCTTCATTTTTGACTCAATTGAAGAGAGGTGCTGAGCCCGAAAACACAAAGAGGTTGATGTTGGTAATCTCAGGAAAATCGCCGTTGCTTTTACAAGAGGAAATGCACATGCTTCAGGAAATAATCTCTAAAATAAAACAAAAACCAAAAAGGATCATAAAGACAATTTCAACAATGACTATAAACAACATATCAATGGAAAGCAATATGAGAAAAAGCAGAGGAAGAAAAAAATAATTCTCCAGCAGCTGAAGCCCTAATGCTGCAGGGCTAAGCCAGTCTAACCATAAACTTTATCAAAAAGGAATGTTTTCAGACAGGATGTTTGCCTTATAAAATAAAACTGGGAGTTGGTTATGGAGGAGTGTGATAAATAAAGATTTGCCTCCTATTCTACTTTTAGAGCCTCGAGGAACCTGCAGTAATCCTGCAGTCTGAAAGGAAAGTGGTCCAATCAGACCTCTAACATAAGAAAGAGATCGATTATCACAGTATGTAAGAAGAATACTTTCAAATTGACTTCTGCATTTACAGTCAATGAAGAAAAAATAAATTATATATAATTTATATACATAATAATAATAAAAAATATATATAGAGATTTATATATATATAATCAGATTTATCAGAAAAACACTTCTTTAGTTATACATTTTTCTTTGTTTTTAATTGTTGCTAATTTCATGTCAAATGATGTTCCTGCTTGCTTTTGATTTATTTTATTTTTTCACATCCGCTGCTGACACCTCTGTTTGAAGAGATTGTATCATACAACACTGTACTAACAGGGTACAGAAACTGTTGTAGATTGTGCAAAGGTGACCTTGGCAAAAGGGAAATCCTGAGCAAGCCTCTCTGGCACATGAACAAACAACAACAAATACATCTAGAAAACTTGCCAGAAGGAAGAAGCGCAACACCTGGCAGAGGGAAGTTTTTCTGATGACCTCAGGAACATCTGCTTCACATGAAGCATCACCAGCTTGTCACGTCTGGGACTCAAGGTGTTGTTTTGTTCTGAACTTTGTTCAGAGCCCGTTACATTTAGTCAGGAGTCTTGTTTCAGAGCTTTTCATGAAACAAAAAACGTCTCTGTAAGTGATCTGCTTTAGGTAGCAGATTAGATGCAACAAACTCAAAAACAGCCTCCTGGTCTCCCAGCGTTTCATTCTTGGCTGTTTTCTAAGGTAGTTTCTGTTTGTATTTCTCAGATTATCTTGAGCATTGCAGGTCCACGTAAGCTCAGATCAGGTGTCATAATGATGTGAAGTTGTCTGAAAATATAAATAAGCTTTGACAAAGTGATGACTCTGCAGAAACAGTAGTATCTGC